TTGATGATATTATCATTATTTAATGTAGGCTATTAAAAGTAACTTAAGCAAAATAATAATTTAAAGAGGAACAAACCTTTGATATTGAGTGTTTTCCCCATTTAAGATTTTTTATTTTATAATTAATACATGTAGTATAAATTGCCAAATAATATTTTTTTATTATTTATTTTTAACAATAAATTTTTAATTATAATTTTTTTAAAGTAAAAATACAACTTCCAACTTCCAGCAAAGTGGGTTGGAAAATTTTAGAATCGATAAAGGTGGAGGGTTGGACTACAGGGCTGGACTACCTGCTCCCACAATCTCTTGACCCGTTCTTAAAGTCCCTGTCACCAATAAATAATCACCTTGTTCTTATTTTAGATTTCTTTTGTGCCTAAAATATTGAGGGTAAGGGGAAGTATAAGGTTAGTGCAGACGACAGTGATTCTAATCAGGACTTATAGTAAGCAGTTTGTCTTAAGAAGGGACCATTTATCTATCAGGAACTGTGAGCAATAAGATTCAAACTTAGAAAAATCAATGAAGAGATTCAGTCTTATCAACTAAGTTACTTTCTTACACGGATTTTATGTTAGATGGATGCTTTAAAAAACAAAAGAGGTAGATAAATTCTAGAAGTTTTAGGTCAGTTTGATATGACAGGAGTTTTTTTATAGAAATTCTATTTGAAATAATTTATTGTAAATGTTATGTTTTTAAAGACTTAAAGGTATTTGATAAAAATTTTTATAAAAAAATACTTTTTGAATGAAAGGTTATTTAGTAAATTTTTTATAAAATATTTTTTAATCTAATGTAATGCTAAAATAACTAAAATGGACATTTTCTACTTATTGAAGGACCACTCTTGCTTCATTTTTTATTTTATATTTTTATAGAACTTCAATTTTTAAATTATTTTAAGGTTGATAATTAAAAATTAATTCTTCATATTTTAAAATATAAATGCTAGATAAATGTTTATATTTTAATATTAAAAAATAAAATATGCTACATTTAATTTGCATAAAGAAGATAATAAAATTAAAAATTATGCTAAATAATCATCTTAACTGATTTTCTATTAAGGATAAAATTATGAAATCTCAAAGTGAAATTATGTCATGATCCTCTATTGTATAAGCAAAATTATTTTGAAAAATTTTGGTTGTCATTGCATTCTAGTGTGCCTTTATCTTTTTTTCTCTTGAATCATAAAGGCTTGTCATCTTATATATTGAAACAATTTTATCCTTAAAATAAGATCTGCAAAAACATAGACAGGAATGTTGAATCTAATGGAAATATGGAACAAACATTTTTTTTTGGTACATCAATGAAAACTAAGAAAATAACAAAGAGGAAAAACTAGTAACAGAAGAAACTAACCCCCATAGAATTCCCTATTAGGATAGAACACTGTCCAATTGGTTGAGAATCCAAAATGCTGGTACTTGGTTTGCAAGCACACCACGTTGTCCTTGGCTATAATAAGACATACAAAGACATAGCAAAAGTTTCAGAAATGAATGTAGGCCTCTAAAGGTGAACCGTTGTCAACTTAGGAGGAAAACAACAAAACAAGGACAATAAGCATTTGATCATGGCATAACTGCTAAAGTGAAAAACAACATTCCCCATATTTCCATCACAACATGATAAAATAATATTCGTGAAAAAGAAAGAAATAAGAAGAAAAGAAAGAGAGGAAAAATGTTCAAAATTGAATATTTAATATAAAAATTATGATTTTTAGTAGATTAAGGATATACAGATGTTTACCGGTGATCCTATCACTGACAGACTCATAAGAGAAGGGATCAATGGAATAAGAGAAGCCAACTCCAATGGGTGTTACCAAACATAGCATATTTGCTTTTGCATAAAAAGGTTAAATACTCTTTTTGGTCCCTCTACTATGGAAAAAAATTTTTTGTCCTTATATTTTAAAAAGCCTCCTTTTGGTCCTTATACTTAAAAAAGCTCCTTTTTAGTTTTTAAAATTTAAAATCCAATCCCTTTTTGGTTCTTCTGTTTGTTAAATTGTGACATGACACAATATTCATTAACTTATTGTGTTTTTTAATTTTTAAATATTAGATAAAAATGAGGTGTAAATGAAAAAAATTTATATGGCACTATTAAATAGTTTTTTTTAGTGATGTGGCAATGTTAAATAATTTTTTAAATGAATTGAATGACAAATTGTTCTCTAAACCATCTGCACCTTCTTCTTCAAAGCCAATAGATCGTCGATCATTTGGGTACCTATTACAACTGCAAACACCAATAATTGAGAGTTCATAAGAATATATTCACTGATAAAAATAAAAATTAATTATTAATTAAAGTGATTTATCAATACTGTAAATCCTAACTTCTCCTTTGCAAATCAAATCATTCTCTTTACTCTTTCCCTAATTTCAGATTTTCAACCCTTTCTTCCTGTTGAACCTAGGTCATGGATGAACCAAATTATGAAGTTCATAGCAACATGAACCTAGCACCTGCAGTTTCAAATCCAAATATTAAACACAATCTAGGTTTCATAATGAACTTAGAAAACTCGAACCCAGATCTAAGTTCCACAAATCCAGCATGAGGGTTCCACAAGGAACTCAAGATGATGAAAAGAATGGCGAATAGGATGTTGAAGATAAACAAACATGATGATGCCGAGGATGAGGATGAGGAAAAGGATGAAGAGAAAGAAGAAGATGAAGAAATTAAAGTTAATCATGTTTAAATTCATTTAATTCATGAATTAAGAAGTAAAATTTTTAATTTATATAGGTGGCCCAAAATATTTAGATGAAATGCTTATATGGACTTATAATTTTATCCACATAATTTTCACATTATTTATAAAATCATTTATATAAAAAATAATCAAGTGATTCCGTTAATTAACGTAACAGATTAGCAAAAATTTAACAAATGGACAAAAAAGGAGTTGAATTTTAAACTTTAGAGATTAAAAAGGGATTTTTTTAAGTATAAGGACCAAAAAAGAGATTTTTTTTCCATAGTAGAGGGACCAAAAAGGATATTTAGCTGCACAAAAAGGAGCATGCTAAAGATCAAAACTTCAAGTCGATCTGAATATACCCAGAAATGCAAAGAACAAAAATTATAGAAAATACCTCTATTCTAGCTATATTCATTATTGACAAGAAATTGATCACTAGGTCTAAATGGCCCATTCTCAAAAAATGCCCCAACTCCCAAAGAAGACACCCAGGTCTTGCAATTCCACTATGAAACATAAAGATCAATCCCCATAGAAATCTCTCTACAAATGAGTTTTAAGTGAAAAAAATGAATACCTCCAATGAGCCAAAGAATAAGAGGCTTAGAGATAGGATCAACTTCAGCTTTAGCAAAGTAGTAAAACAAATATTTTTGCTTTTTGTCATTAACAGTCACATAACTGGAGTACTGTTGGAACTCCACCAGGGGTTGGTCAGGTAAGAGAGCAATCCAGTCAAGGAAAGCAAAGAAGGACTTAACTTGAATGCAAATATCAAGTTGGAGCAGAATTACAGCAAAGGCCACTGTTCTCCATGGGGGAGAAATCTTGGTGTTTAGAAAGAGGTGAAAGACTAGCATGAAACAAATTGGCAATTGGTAAACTATAAAAACCAGGAGGTGTTGTCACAAGTAAGACAGCAATTGATGTATGCATGGTTACATGACATTTAACTGAAAAAAAAAATTATAATTATATAATTTTAAGGGTTGAAAGATTAAAAAATATATTTAAAATAACTAAAAAATAAAATTATATAAAATTTTAAAATCAAGGGATTAAAATTGATATTTGGCCAAAATTCTACCAGAGATCCGCCGACACGAGCGTCTCACCTTCATACGTGTGTGCTTGCCGCATTCATCTTGGCTTGACGGGCCTCATTCATACATACAAACTCAGCCCACATTTCTTGTTTTACCCGGCCCCTGCTCCTCATCCAACTTTTGGGCTTACCCCTTGAATTTTTTTTTAATTTATTTTTTATTTT